GAAAAAGAAGGCTGGTGGGGACTGGCACACCCTGGGGAAGGGATTAGAGGAGTCAGGGTGGGAGGCTGGATTACACTGGCTATGGCCTTTGAGGCCAGAGAATAGAATATGGATTTTATTCCAAATGCTATGGCAGGATGTTTTTGGAGTCCATTAAGCTAGAAGGTTGAGTGATAGCCCCATTTTCACCAACCCATCTTGCCACCTGGACAGTAACAGAAAGGAAGTGAGTGTCTAAAGCTTTTTATTTTTTTTTAATTTTTTTCAGTGCTGGGGTTTTGTTTTGTTTTGTTTTTTAATAGGATTTTTTATTTCACATTTTTTTGGTGGGACTGGGGTTTGATCTCAGGGCCTCGTGCTTGCTAGGCAGGTACTCTTACCACTTGAGCTGCTCCACCAGCCCCTGGTTCTGGGGTTTGAATTCAGGGCCTTCACCTTGAGCCACTCCACCAGCCCTATTTTTGTGAAAAGTTTTTTGAGAAAGGGTCTCTTGAACTATTTGCCCAGGCTGGCCTCGAATCTCGATCCTCCTGATCTCTGCTTCCTGAGTAGCTGGAATTACAGGCGTGAGCCGAGGACGCCTGGTGTGTCTAATGCTTTTAAGTAAAGTCACCTGGATTAAAGCTCCTTGCTTTGGTTTGCCTAGTTCAAGAGCTGCAGATTGCACTTCCGGGCTCTGGAGTGAAGATGTGGGAGCTCAGGTGGTTGCAATTAGGTATAACCAAACCTTACTGCCTCCATTGCCAACAGGGGCCAAAGAGCTTCGCAAGCCTGCTGGCCAAGGAAATATTTACTCTCTCCTCTGGAAACACAAATATATTTGCCTTGAGTTGGAGGGAAAGGGAGAAATAGTCCCTTAAGTCATTCTTTACTTTTTTTTTCTCATGGTGCTAGCTAGGGATCTAATCCAGGGTTTCACATGCTACCTCTACCACTGAAACCGTCCCGTTTTTTGAAAAAATAGGGTCTCATTATGTTGCATGGGTTGATCTCTAACTCCTGGGCTCAAGTTGTCCTGCCTCAGCCTCCCAAGTATCTGAGACTACAGGCTCATTCCTATCCCCCCACCCCCACGTACACACAGTTCCTTCAGTAGTTCTTTATTTTGGCAGTAACTGGGGTTTTGAACTCAGGGCCTCATGCTTGACTGGCAAGCATTCTACCATTTGAGTCACTCCACCAGCCCTTTTTTTGTGTTTGTTATTTTCTTTTTTCTTTCTTTTTTTTTTTTTGGTGAGGTTTTAACTCAAGGCTGGGCAGGAGCCCTTAAGTCACTTTACCAGCCCTGTGTTGGGTATTTTCAAGACAGGGTCTCATGAACTACTTGCCAGGCTGGCCTCAAATCTTGATCCTCCTGGTCTCTTCCTTTCAAGTAGCTAGGATTACAGGTGTGTGCTGGACACTTCTCCAATTTTGTTAGACAGGGTCTGGTTATGTAGTCCAGGTTGGCCTTGAACTCACTATCCTCCTGCCTCAACCTCCCAAATGCTGGGATTTCGGGTGTGTTCTACCACTTCAGCTTCCTTTTTTAAATTGTTATTTATTTATTTTTGTGGTAATGGAGATTGAACCCAGGGCCTCACTAAGCAAGCATGCTACCATTTGAGCCATGCCCCTAGATCTTTAAAAAAAAAATCCTGTCCAATGACTTTTTAGGGGTGTGGCTGGATAAAGCTGCCAGCATTTTTTCCTAACTTTTTCCTCTCTGAGGCCAGTACACATCCCTAGAAAGAAGGGCAAAGGAGTCCTGGTGCCCAATTTGGGGTCTTGCCTTCCTTCCCAGATTCTTCCCTCACCTGATGGCATTTAGTAATATGAGACTTACAGGAGGACAATATTTTAAAAAGCAAAGAAAGAAATCCTTTCTCCTGTGTCACTGATTTGGAAACCAAAGCAGAGTGGCTTGCCTAAGGCCCTGGTATGAATCATGAGAGGCTTTTGATTCTTGATGCCTGTTGACTCAGAGCCACATGCACTTCCCATGTGACCAGCAGTCTTATGCAATAAATGAATGGGCTGCAATTTTGAGCCTAGATGACTCTCAACAACACAACTGATTGGCATCCTGTGTTTTCCAGAGTCGCCCTGTTTTTGACAGACTGGATGGGCATGGAGCATTTACCTGCACATGAACTCACACTTGCCCTCTTTTCCTTCCTGGAGAAGTCTTCTCAGGCTAAAATGTGTCTCCTCTCTCACCCACTCACATACCTATGCAAATCTTAGGAACCTGATAGAAAGTGAGACCCTGAATTCCTCTGAATGCTGTAAAAAGTTGACTGGGACCATCCCCAATGTATGCAGATGAAAACAATATGACAGAAATGTCACCACCTTCCTATATGACAGAAATGGACGTCTGCAGTATACATCCAAGAATAAAAATCCTTGTTGAAGCCGAGCGCTATAATCCTAACTACTCAGGAGGCAGAGATCAGGAGGATCACAGTTTGAAGCCAGCCCAAGGCAAATAGTTCTGGAGACCCTATCGAAAAAACTTACCTCAAAAAAAGCGATGGTGGAGTTGCCCAGGCAGGTGATAAGAGGACCTGCCAAGCAAGCACGAGGCCCTGAGTTCAAACCCCAATGCCACAAAAAAAAAAAAAAGAAAAGGAAAAGAAAAATCCTTCTCGAATCTGCCACATGTCCAAACCACAAACAAACAGCCATTTGTTGAAAGATGGTCCCGGCAGAGGATGACTGACTATTCAACACCAGGGAAAGATCACAAAGCTTGCTGGTTCAGCTTTGGGGCTGAGTGTGTTCTCTTGAGTTCACGCTGCATCAGACAGGTTCATCTTAGCCAGGAGGGAGTGGGATGGGAGTCACTTATTCAGACTGACCTTCATCCTCCTTGCCACAAACACCTTTGGACACCTGCTATTTCTTTCATAATTTAGCATAATGTGTCTTCTGCCCTCAATCTTTTCTTTACCTGGGCGTTAACTGCAGCCTAGATCCCTATCTGTTCTTATTCTGCCCTCTGCCCCTCCTCCATGGAGGCTGTCTCTTATTTTATTTGCTTTTTTTTTTTGGTGGTAATGGGGTTTAAACTCAGAGCCTTACACTTGTCCAGACAGGTGTTCTACCACCACTTGAGCCACTCTGCCAGCCCAGAAGCTGTCTCTTATTTTCCTGAATTCAATAAAAATAAGAAAATACCCTGGGTTTAATTGCAATAGAGACTTGAGACTTTGCTTCTTTGCCTATAGGTTAGACCAGCCTGCTAGGGATTGCCTCCTAGAATAGTCTGCAAAATAAAAGCAAGTAGCCAGGCTCACACGTGTAATCCTAGCTACTTGTGAGGCTGAGATTAGGAGGACTGCAGTTTGAAGCCCATCCAGGCAAATAGTTTGTGAGACACCCCCCCCTCATCTCCAAAATAACCAGACTGGTTTTGTGGCTCAAGTGGTAGAGTACCTGCTTTGCCAAGCATGAAGCCCTGAGTTCAAACTTCAGTCCCACCAAAACCAAAAAAGGCATTAAAATGGTTCCTGAAATAAGACTCCTGGGTTGGTATCTGGGTTCTACCACTTACAGTCTGATATTTAGACAAATTACTTAACTCCTATCCCAGAATTTCTTCATCTGTACAAGATAGTTGTGTGAGGCCACAGGAGGCAAATGCACTTGAAAACACATGGTTCAGCACAAACCACATAGTTAATGCTCAACAATTCCTCACCACGAGTATAGAAACTCCTGCCCAACGCTTCCAAGTGGGAATAAATGCAGCAGTCTCAGGTTCTCTTATTTTGTTTGTTTTGCAGCACTGGGGCTTGAACTCGGGGCCTACACCTTGAGCCACTCCACCAGCCCTCTTTTTTGTGATTTTTTTTCAAGATAGGGTCTTTCAAGCTATTTGCTTGGGCTGGCTTCAAACCCTGATCCTCCTGATTGGGTCTCCTGATTGGGCCTCCGGAGTAGGATTACAGGCATGAGCCACAGGCACCCAGCAGAAATTTAATGTTTTTGTAGGTTTTTGTTTTGTTTGAGGCAGGGTCTCCCTATGTAGCCCAGGCTGGCCTCTAACTTTTTTTTTTTTTTTTTGCTTTTTATTATCTTTTACTTTTACCCAAACATTGTATGCACATTTCATGGCCTCTAACTTGTGATCCTTCTGCCTTAGCCCCCTGAGTGCTGGGATTATAGACATACACCACCATACCCTACATATAACTTTTTTTTTTTTTACTTTGTTTTTGGCAGTACTGGGATTGAATTCAGGGCCTCATGCTTGCTAGGCAGGCACTCTACTACTTGAGCCACTACACTAGCTCTTTCCTTTTCCTGAGTTTATTTCATCCCCTTATGCAGTCACATAAAAAGAAAAATTTAAAAATCACCATCATCCACTGGGCACGGAGGCTGATGCTTGTAATCACCCTCCTGGACGGGGACAATCATGGCCGAGGCTGGCCCAATAAAAAACTGGGCATGATGGTTCCACAGTCATCCCAGCTAAGCAGGAAGCAAAGGCAGGATTGTGGTCCAGGCCTCCAGGGCACAAACACTTTTTGAAAAATATAACTAACGCAAAGAAGGCTGGGGGTGTGTGGTTCAAGTGTAGAGCGCCTGCCTAGGAAGTGCAAGGCCCTGAGTTCAAACCCCAGCACCACCAACATCTTCCATCTCTTTGGGAAACAGGGATAAGGAGGGATCTTGGGGGGGGTGTAGAATTGGTGTTTCAGATGCTGTGTTGGGGTGACTTGGGGGATAAGGTAGCCTGAGTAGAAACTAGGAGAGACTGGGGAGCCAGAGTTGAGTATTAGGGTCTAATGCTGATTAGTGGATGTTAAGAGGATATATTTATTTGGGGACCAAATGGGAGAAGTGAGCCAGGTGGGAATGTGAGAGCTCTTAAGTGTAGAGGTGGTGAGTCTGGGGAGAGGTGTGTGTGGAATGTGTTTTGATGGTAGATCTAGGGGACTGCAGGAGTGAGGCCCTCAGGATAGCTGGGGCTGAAGAAGTGGGACAAAGGGCATGGAGTAAGAAGGGATTTAGCTCTGAAGGTGAAGGATAGAGTGTGTGTTTTGGAAGCCAGGAAGGCCACCGTGGACTTGGACCTGCAGTGGCCTAAAGTTTAGGGTTGGAATGGCCAGCTGAAAGGGCACGAGTGGCCTGGAGGAGGAGGTGGGCTCTGGAGGCAGGTCAGGTGGGGGTTCTGGCACTCTAGGCTGCTCACATCCGGGCGCCTGGCCTGCACAGTGAGGGGCCGGGAGGTGGCCAGGTGGGCCCCGTGGACTGAGAGGGGTCCTCTGGCTGGCGGGGGCGGGGCTTCGCATCCTGGGCGTCCGTGCGTGTGTCCTGGTCGCCGGGTGGGGAGCGCCAGGAGCTCTGAGGAGTGCTTGGGCGGTGGACACCGAGTGTGTCAGGCCTGGTCCGGGGGCTTCCGAGGGTTCCGGGGTCCGTGTTCGTCCCCAGTGTCTCTGAGGGGCGCGGACTGTGGGGATTCCCGGGGTCTCCGAGGGCCCCGGGGTCCACCGCGCCCAGGTCCGTTTGGGTCCCGGGCCCGGAGCCTCGGCGCGGACGCGGCATGGCGGCGCTCGGGTCCCGCCGGCCCTGGCGCCGCCCCGCCTGACTGACATCAGTTCCTGCCGCCGCCGCCGCCGCCGCCGCCACCGCCGCGCACAGCCCGCGGCCTCCTTCCCCGCCGGCCGCGCTCGGAGCCGCCGGGCCGCGGCGGAGCGAGGCCCGGGCGGAGCGAGGGCCGGGCGGCGGGCGCCGGCCCCGCGGCCGGCACGACGGAGACCCGCACGGCCGGCGGCAGCGGTTGGCGGCGGCCCCGGGCCCCCGGCGCGGAAGCGGCGGCGGGGCGGCGGCGGCGGCGGCGGCGGCGGAGGCGGCGGCGCCATGGAGCCGCGGGAGGTGAAGGACCGGATCCTGGAGAACATCTCGTTGTCGGTGAAGAAGGTGAGCGCGGCCTCCTCTCCCCGCCGGGCCCTTCCCTGCCCAGCGCCCCCGCGTCTGTCGCTGGGACCCGGGCCACCGCCCTTCCCCTCGCAGCCTCCGGACCCCCGGGCCCTGGCGGGGAAGCGGCTCACGTGAGCGCCCGGCTCGGAGCTATTTTGAAAGAACAAAGTTGAGGTCCGCATCCTCGGAGCTCGGGCGCGGGCCCGGGGCCTGCCTTCCCGGAGAGGCGACCCGCCCGTGTCCGCGGCCCGGGGACCGCGGGATGCTCCGGGAGGACCGCTTGCAGCATCCCCGCGGGACCTGCCGCATCCTCCGCCAGGGCGCAGGCCGAGCGGCGAGCCGCCTGGGCTGACCCCGCCGCGGGTCCCGGCGACACTGCCGCGAGCGATCCTGCTTCAGGGTGGCAGTTTCCAAAGGGCTCATTGCACAGTTTTGATGGAGAACCTAAGGAGTCGGTGATTGCATTTCGATGCGTGATTCGTGGATCCGCCTGACACCGCTCGCACCTGCTGGGGGGCTTGCCCAAGCAGGGATCCTTGATTCCAGCACTAGGGAGGCTAAGACAGGAGGATCAAGAGGTCAAGAGTTCAAGGCCAGCCTGGGCTGCACAGCGAGCCCTGATCTTTGGGGGAAAAAAAAAAAAGGAAGCATGTTTTTGTGATGAAGTCAGCTCATCTGAAAACAAAAATCTCCCATGCTGGAAGGCAGAATTCATAGTCACTGAAAACCTAAATAGTCAATAATGGATTTTTGAATTCCTGGCTCACCTGATTGGCTCAGAAACTAGGGGGTGGGGGGCTTTGCTTGGATAGGGGGAATTTTTACTACCTAAAGGAACCAAAACAAGGTTATTGATTAAATCACCATACTTATAAATACCTGTGTTTTCCCCCACTTACGTTCCTCAAAATTAACACAGGTAAGCAGTTTTACCTTTTGTAAAGACAAATGCGGCTTATTTAAAAAAAAAAAAGACTCCAAGTAATCTTTCTAAAATGTTTTGCTAGGGCTGATGGAGTAGCTCAAGTGGTAGAGCTCCTGCTTAGCAATTGTGAGGCTCTGAGTTCAGACCCCAGTACTGCAAAAATACAATACAATAAAATAGCCCTTTAAAAGCTAGGCGTGACATGCAGAGGTCCAGCATGAGTTTTGTTTGTTCCATTTTCCTGAGCTTTCCTAATACAATGGGGCCTGGATTTGCTTACTCAAGGCGTGCCTGGATGAGCCAATACTTTGTTAAGAAGCAGTGCATCTTTCATAATGGGAAAGAAAACAAGACTGCTGACCTTCCCAAAACCAATCTGGGCTGATGAAGGCTCCCAGCAGGCCAAGGATTATTGTCTTTGGATTTCAAACAAATAAATGGGGAACATCCCCAACACAGAGGTGGTAGACATGGGCACCTCATCACAGAGGTAAATCTGAACCATTAAAAGGCAGGGATCCATTCTGTACATTAGACTGTCTGTCTTTAGGAAGAGTGGAGTGTGTTTGCCAAAATGCTTATAGATTATGCTTTGAATAATGTATTTTATTGAGCTGTATGTATTGTACCCCATAGTAGGTAAGTTGTACACTAGAAGCTGGGAGTCCTTCCCTGGGTGCACTCCAAGCAAAGGCACGCCTAACTTCATGGTTGAGAACACAACTCTGGAGCCCAGATGCCTGAGTTGAATCCTCACCCTGCCCATTAATAGCTGGTAACCTTGGGCAAGTTCCTTAACCTTCCCATGCCTCTGCTTCCTCATCTGAAAAGCTGCGATAAAAGTAGGGTTATAAAGATTTAATGGAAGTGCATAGAGTGTTTAGCATGGTGCCTGACACAGTCTTAATAAGTGGTAGCATTTTATTTGTGGTAGAGCCACCTCCTTGCTTTTACAACATCTGAAGACAGTGCCTCCCACCTTCGTGTTGGGACATCATGATAGCCACCTCCTTTGTATGCTTGGTCCAGACAACTGCTGTATGGTTCTTGCCTCATGAAATGCATTAGGCTTTCTGAATCAGTAATAGGATTTAGTTTGGCTACAGCTGTAGATGTTGAGGGCTAGAAGCCTTGGGATCAGATTTGCCCTTGAATGCCAGTCTCACACAGATTTGTTATATAGCACCTTGAGAAATGCTTTGCCTGTTTCCCCCTCCTACCAAGAAAATGATCTTTACAGCACTTTTTTTTTTCTTTTTTTGTGGGACTTGGTATGAACTCAGGGCTTCATGCTTGCAAAGCAGACACTACTACTTGAGCCACACCTCTAGTACGTTTTGCTCGGTTATTTTGGAGACGAGGTCTCAAGAATTATTAGCCTAGGCTAGCCTTGAACTGTGATCCTCCTGATCTCAGTCTCCAAAGTAGTTAGGATTACAGGCGAGAGCCACCTGTGCCCAAGTACTGGTCCTTTTTAAAGGCTGTTGCGTGAAGAAAGTGAGATGTGCATTGCTGCCAACAAAGATCTGCTGTGTATTACGATGTTTGCAAAGAGTGTTTTCCAACTCTTTATTGAAATATACTTAGGGAAGAATGCACTGATGTTAAGCATACAGCTTCATGAGTCCTCACAGTGAACACAGCCACATGTCCAGACTCAGACCAAGGAAAGGACATACCCATCATCCCAAAAGCCCTCCTCGTCCCTCCTGCCAAAACTGCATCCTCAAATGTACCCAGTATCACTAAGCCATGCTGTTGAGTTCAGCTATATTCACACCTAACTTTGAGAAGCTGAACATACACTGTAATACCAGAGAAGTAAAACAGCCGTTGTCTCATCCAAATCCAAAGAAACCTGGGTTCTCATATGGAGGCAGGATTCTGAGGGTTAGGGGGAACTGGAGAGTTTGATAGCACAAATGAATGAAAATGACAGCAATAAAAAGCCAGTTGAAGCTGGGCACTGGCAGCTCATGCCTGTAATCCTGGCTACTTGGGAGGCTGAGATCAGGAGGACCAAGGTTCCAGGCCAGCTAGCACAAATAGCTTGTGAGACCCTATTTCCAAAATAACCAGACTCACACTCTGCAAGTGTGAGGCTCTGATTTCAAACCCCAGTCCTACTAAAAGAAAAAAAAAAGCTCAAGCACATAGTGGTGTACGCCTGTAGTCCCAGCAGGAAAATCAAAACTACAAGTGCAGAGTGGGCTACACAGCAAACACCTTATCTCAATAAGAAAGTTCCATATGCTTGGAAAGGGAGCTAGTAGAGAACTATTCCGAGCGCTGCTAAGAAAGCCTGTGGTGGCTGCGTTGTTAAAAGTACAGCACGGGGGCAGAATTGGCGTGTGACTCTACTGAGTGGTGCAGCCTCCAGAGAGGGAAGGCAGAGAATTTCAGAATTTCATTGTTTTGAGGAGCAAATCTGTAGCATATTTGTGTGGTGTGAGCAATGGCTCTGTGCTATGAGAAGCAGCCTCGGCCCTCCCGCAGTTTGTGTGTTGGTTGGGACTTAACCATGTCTTGACAAATTGGTAAAACTTGGAGAAGGAGAGGCTGTGGCATTCTAGCTAGAAGGGACATCTCCAAAGAAGTGGGGCTCCCCAGGTGTCTTCGAGAGACTGTGAGGAGACAGACCAGTCTCGGGAGTACCAGGGATGTGCTAGAGGCGACTGGAATGTGCTCTCTGGGAAACCATGCAGCCTAGTGATAAACATACAGTCGCAAAGGTACACATACCTACATCTGGGTTGGAACTTGGATTTGTCATTGACCATTATGATCCTGGCAAATAACTGGGATTCTGTTAGCCTCAGCAGTCAAAGCCTGCTCACAGTGTCATAATGAAAATTCAAGTCCGTGAGATAATACACTCACAGTGTTTAGCGAGATGCCTAGCACACAGGCCTAACCACCATATTAACTGCCATTATTACCTGCAGTTTTTAGTGAAAATCTTTTGGTACACTTCTCTGTAAACTTTCTCTTAAGAATAGCTGGTGAATATTTCCAGGGCATATGGTCTTTGTTGAAACTACTCAGTTCTGCCCCAGTAGCTCAAAAGCAACCATACATGTGTGGGTGTGGTTGTGTTCCAGCAAACCTTTACAGAAATAGGTAGCAGGCTGGATTTGGCCCACAGGCGGTGGTTTTATATATATATGTGTGTGTGCAGCACCAAGAAAAGTCCTGGCCCATGTAGGCTGGGGGTCACTTTCAGAGAAATTATGTGACTAGGCCTGGTTAACCAAATCTCTATTATAGCTGTGGCTTTTTATTTTTTTAGGAATAAAAAAGACCTTGGGCTGATAGAATGGCTCAAGTGGTAGAGCACTTACTGCCTGGCAAGTACAAAGTCCTGAGTTCAAACCCAAGTACCACCAAAAAAAAAAGAAAAAAAGACCTTGATAGACTATCCTTTGATTTTTTTTTCTTTACTGAGGTTTTTGTGTGTGTGTGTGTGTGTGTGTGTGTGTGTGTGTGTTGGTTATTTTTGAGAAAGGGTCACTCTTTATTCCCTTGGTCAGCCTGGATCTGGATCCTCCTATTTGTGCTTCCCTGTGTAGCTGGGATGACCAGTGCACGCCACTGCACCCAGACATTGATTGAGATGAGGTCTTGAGAACTATTTGGAGGATCAAGCCTTGATCCTCCAAATCTCTGCCTCCCAAGTAGCTAGGATTACAGGTTTGAGCTCGGCTCTGCTTATAGCTGTATCTTTGCCCATGACATTAGGCTTGTGGAGTTAGGACTTGGTGAATCCCATCGTATGTCCGAGTATTCAGTTACTTAAAATATTACTGTGCAGCTTCCTTAGGTCCTCAGTGATCTATGCCCTAGGGAGGTCACAGTGAACAAGACAGATTAAGGTCCCTGCCCTCATGGAGGTGACATTCTAGTAAAAGATGAGGAATAAATTAGTAGATAGGCAAATCCACAGCTGCTTTCAGATTGTGGCAAGTGTCACCCAGGCATTAGACAGATGTGGTAAGTACTCTGCAGGAAGTTAGCTTGGAGGAGATGATTAGGGAAGACTTCCCTAAAGCAGTGACATTGCATCCAGCAAGGAACA